TAGCGAGGATCCATGGCTTACCGGCTGAACTATTCAAATACGGCGGCGGAGAACAGACAAGATGAGTCAGCCGAAAGTATGTCCAATATGTGGAACCAGGGTATGCTTTACTCAATTTATAAGAAAAGTCTGCGCTTCGTCCACATCTCAGATAAGGTGTTATCTACTCACTTTACTTAACAAACTGATTGGATCTTATCAGTATGACTTCAATCGGCAGCAAGTCTTGGAAAATACACGCAAGAAAAAGACGACAAACAATATCTTTGCGTGAATGTTTGAGAATTTTATGATAGGAACCAAAGAGGTGAAGGGTCCAGTCCATCAGTTTGTTTTTGAAAGATATGATCTAACGAAAGTTTGTCCTACGTGTAGAACCGGAATGAACTTTACCCCATTTATAATAAGAGGAACCTCTATATCTACGTTTTCTAATGGAAAACTGAAGCACCTCATTAACAAACTGATCAGATCTCATCAATGCGACTTCAAATCTAGAAAATCTACGATTTACTAGAGACTCACTTGAGAAAAAGGTCGAAAAACAACACCTCTACGTTAATTTTGAAATGGCCTTTGATCGCACAAAAGAGAGCTGAATTTCGTATCTTATAGGACTGTTCCAAATGACGTTAAGCAACACAAGAAGCTCCATGGAAATTGGGAAGGATCTCTCCAAGTCGTTCAATACTAAACGACGTGCCTTCTTTACTCAACGCAGAAAAAAAAACTAAGAGTTGCAGATATAAATGGGAATGAATAATCTTGTTTTCTTTTCCGGGCGCAGTTGCCAAGTAGTTAGCATTACGTACTGTCATTCGGAAGGGCAGGATACAAATCCTGGCACGACCAATATCCAAAAGTTATAGAAAAAGAAATTTCAACACAAAAAAGTAAAAAATATTTAAGTAAAAATGTAGTCAAGCAAAGAAAAAAAGGTCAGGGAATGTCAAGCCCTCCGATTGTGTTTTTGACATGAAGAGGCAAAAGCCACAAATGGAAAGAAAGTAGCCGGCCGAAAATCACTTCAGCGGTTACAAAGAAAATAAGCATTCCACGTTTCCTACAGCATTGCCGGGCGTAATAACTGCCAAAATTAATGTTAACCTCTAATCCTTACGCAAAATCACTGTCAACAGGTTTTATTACGGACTGACTGGAAAATGTAAAACTAAAGTCTTCTCTCGAGAAAACGTCATCATTCCTCACCATGCTATATGGATCTGAGGCATGGACGATGTCGACTATTGATGAGTTGAAATTAAGAGTTTTCACGAAAACGGTTTCGCGTATTTTTAGCAGCGAGTACAACAGTCGATGAAACGATGAGCCGTACGAGATGCAAGATAACATCGACTTAATTCAGCGAATCAAAAGAAAACGACTAATCTGATTATGTCATGTCATATACTACCCTCAGATGGAAACAGGAGAAGAAATAGGCCTTCAGTGCAGAGTGCACTTGGTATTTTCAATCGGTGTGATATAGCAGAATAAAAGGAAGGAATGAGGCGCTGTTGTTAATTTGACTATAATCGTGTAAGCGGTGTCGCCTGATCTTGGCAAGCATTAAATTTGAAACTACAGCCTGCTATCCCAAATTCTGAGTACGAAATCTTTATAAATATCCTTTAAATAGCCGTAATATTTTCATTATAAAGCTCAAAGACAGTCAGTAGGGTAGACTACGCAAGTTCTGACCAGATCCTATATAAATAATGTTTCAATAATCTCTTATGTTAGCCAAATCCTCATTATTTAATAACCCGATAAAGAAATAACATGAGCCCTACCAATGTTAGATTTCAGTACTAGGTTCCAGGTAATGGTATCTTCTAGAAGATTTATAGGAGAAAATCATCTTAATCAATCAAATCATCTATATATATATATATTGCGGAAACATGTGGGGAGTATTCTGTGAAGTTTTCTACAATTTCACTAATATTCGTCTACCAAACTCAGCTATCTTCTTCGAGCGTCATCAACTTAAAGTCTAGCCTGCACCTCAACTCGATATTTCCATAATCTGGATACCCTGCTATAGGACGAGTTGGCCAAGTCGGTAGCACATCTTGCCCAATCTGAAGTGGAGGTAATTCCAATGCCGCAGAGAGCTTCACTTGTGTTTTTAACAGACATCAATGAACAGTTGGAAATCGATATCCAACTGCAAAATAAGGAGCCAATTTGGTTCAAGTATGTCTAGGTAATCAAACGTAGTAACGATATAGAGCCACTGAACATCCAAAGATACATAAGAAAGGTTTTATGCAAATGCATCAAAACTCCTCGAACAGCTCTGCTACCAACCAACTTGAGTCTTTCGAAAAAGGTTTATATATATAGCTTAATGAAAATACTAACATATCGTAGTCTTTAGAATGAACATTAATATTATCCACCTACAATGTGCGGTCACGGGATTATCCAATTAACCAGTTTCGAAGTTAATGTAAATACAATGCATTTAAAATAACATTTTACGAAAAATTTCCTTTTTTTCACAAAAACAAAAATTTAACCTTCCAAGTGATTGTCTGGCGAATTTTCGCAAACTTCGATCCGTTTGAATTATGTGATTTTCAATCAATTTTTGGCACATATTGGGCGATATACATATCAGGCAAAACTCGACGAATGTTGGTCTTCAAAAGCTCAAGAACTAAAGAATTATCAGGGTAAACATGGTGAAATCGTCTTATCCCGGTGGCCGGGAAATCTGTCGCCCAATAAAGCCTTATTCTCGTTTAAACCACATATTGACCAAGTAGTGTTCTTTAATTATATATATATATATATATAATTGGCGCTAGGTCACCGCTTAAGTGGGTTTTCGGCCGAGCTACTCCTTCAATTTCTGGTTCTGCGCCTTGAACTTTTGGATGGGTCCCTTCACATTTTATATTAATTTAATATTCAATTGCTTGCTAAAAAGTCTGTTATCATACGACCATAACTTCGAATTGAGGTAAGCTTCAATTACACCTCCGAAGAACTGAAAAGCTAACCAGACACTAAGTCTTTGGATGTAACGATTCCTTTTCAATGATATGATGATTTTTAGAGACCCAAATGTGATCATTCCGGTAACTTTGATGTAAAGAAGCTGAAGGTGAATTGTCGAAAATGTTGATAAATCATAGACATTATCGAGTCCGACCGTCATTTAAGCGCCGTTTCGATACGAAAAGTAAAAATTAATCTAAATTCATAAAAAAATAGTGGATTTATTCTTGCTCCATGTAAGTGGTCTGCTGGCTTCAGTTGTGTGTGTGAGGATGTAGGTGTATTCGGACACTCAGGTCTTCGGCTGCACTTTCACTTACAGTAGCGATATTTGAGGTGGATTGAGCAACAAGATGTTACATAGGCCTTACAATATCTGAAGCCGATCCAATCTCTTCAAATTTCCTTGAGAATTTACTCAAGCAATCGGTAGCTGGACAACTGAGTGCAACAAAATATGTATGTACATATATACAACTTTCCTTTATAGAAAATGAAAACTATGCTACAGATAAGCCAAGGTTATGCTGAATAAAACTTTTAATTAATATCTTCAATTCAATCACGTCATTCATTTCGAAAAATTCTTTTCTCTAAACACATTTCTATTTCTGTCTTATTCAAGCAAATCACACACTTAAAAAACAACACTTCGAAAACTATTAAAAAAAAAAATAATAAAAATAGCATTAAACGAAAGCACCATAAACAAATATTTGAATTAGAACTGAAAATTTTTTTTTGTATTGAAAACCCTAACACATACACAGGTGTTTACAAAACTTTCACCATCCCCAATAGAATATTGAATAAAATTTAGATTAAGTGAAAATTGCAATTTAATTAAATTTTCATGCGTGAATGCTGGTGCAGGCGGCAAGTGAATAAGTGAGAATAAAGCGAATTCATACGAATACAAACAAACATTGTTATTGAAAACAGCTAACGGTAAGAATTTAGGTCAAAAACAGTGGTAACAGCGGTACGTGCTACGTCCACCTATGCGGGTTGTGAAAGGAGGAAAAATATTGAGAAGAATACAAACAAAATCAATGTGAAAGAACGGCAATGAATCGGAATATGTTTGTATGCATGAATGTGTAATATAAATAGAAAAAAAAAAACAGTTAAATTATTTACATACAAGATTCACGAAAGAGTTGTTTTTGTGCAAGTAAGACGAAATATTTGGTGATCTGTTAAATATTATGTGCTAATTGGCTGCTAACTACTGACGTTGCGTCAGTTCGAACAATTTTAATGTACCGTTAAGCGGTGACGAGGCAAACACGAAAGCAAATATACATATATTTGTATATACTTGTAGGTATTTGTATATGTATGCATGTGTCCATTGACCATTATTTCTAACGATTTAGATATACTCGTAAGTATGTATATATATATATAAGAAAAAATGTGGAGCAGTAGAACGATTTGGGAGCTATGTAACTTGCACACACACATATGTACATATTATATATGTTCGAATTTGAGTTTTTGAGCACGAGCTTTGGCAATTAACGCCTTGCCAAGCGATCGCGGAAGAAGTGAAATTGTGGCAGAGTGAGTGTTTTGATCGATAATTGCTATGACATGGCGGCCATGTGATGATTGTTCTAGATATTTGGAGAGTTGCAGAAGAAGCTGTTGAATGTGCGTCTCTTATATATAATATTTATCGGCGATTTCTTTTGGCAGCATTTTTTTCGAATGTGTAGTAGTGTGGGTAAGTATGCAAGTATTTGTGCATTTGCATATGTATTGTCGCAAGTTGGTATGATTCGGGAGGAATCAAAAATCGAGACAACATTTTTGGGTAGTACAGAATCGACTGGCAAAGTGAACGGTATAAGCCGGGGTAGTAAAAGTGCTTTTAGTTGAAAGCTAATAACAAGAATTACTAAAATATGGTGCGCGCCCGAAACTAGTGTTTGAAAAAAATTCAAAAATTTAAATTTAATTATTTATTTAAATTAAAAAATAAACACATTTTAATTACAAACAACTAGGAAAACAATAAATTTTCAAAAATAGTGTCGAAAACAATTCTAGCTCAACAAATTTGCAATGACTCAACTCAACGACAAAGGCGTCGAGCATTTCAAGCCCACCAGCAGATGTCTCCTCACACTCGTCACGCTGATTTTCGTCTTCTCAGCTACAGCTTTCGCCCTTACACAAATTTCGGCCGATACAACGGAACTCGCTACAAGAGCGGATAAGGAATTAGACGCCAAAGTTGTAAGAATATTATTGAATAACGGTGAATGGAGGCAACAAAAAGAAAAACAACCGAAAAAGTTGTTACAACAAAATGATACAGTCCAGCTACTGACAACAGCAATTAAAGAGGAAAAATCTGAAGAGCAACACATTCAAAATAAACGTGATGTGCCAAACAACAATAACACCAACAACAATAACAACAACAATCAAATTAAAAATACCAAACAAGGTTACTATGAGGAACAACAACCTGTCATCGTACACGCTGAGAGTCTACCCACACTTGGCCGGCGTCAAAACGATTATGGTGACCCACAAGCCGGTTATGAGGATCCCTATTATGCGCGCTCCCCCACCGTTGATGATGATGATGATAATGAGTATGAGGGAGAGCAGTTTGAGCAGGTGCCGGTTCACTATCCCTATCAGCAGCAATCTTCTGCGGGCTATTATAGCGATGCTCCTGCTGTTGCTGAGAAAAATTCCGGTAGCGAAGAAGAGCCTCAGAGTGTGGCCGAAGGCCGTGCTGCACAAAACTATGATTCATACTATCGACAACCATGGCTTTATGCAACACCGGCACCGGTACGTCGTCCAAATGGTGGTTGGGAGGTGGGCGACAATCGGAAAATGCACACTGGCGAAAGGTAAGTGAGGGAAACGCTTAAAACATTTGTGGTTATTAAAAATGTGAGAGACTAAAAAGCCAAAATCAGGTGTTGCGTAAGGGTATATGTGTGATGTTTGTAGATTTGGATATGAAGCAAGTTCTTACCAATAACCATGGCTGATATTGTGAAACTATAACAATTGATCTGCTGTGTCAATGAGATAAGGTTTCAGGTTACTTTGTGAAAAGCCGAGATAAGCCGTCGAAAGGCTGAAACTAGCATATGCTAGACCGATCTTGTATCAATCTCTAGCTGTGAAAATTCCGGTTTTCTTTTATTAAAGTCAGAACCTCAGTTTATGTGTCTGATTCTTTCTTCCAGATAGCAGGCTGTGTGAAAAATATATTTAGAGATGCAATTATCTTCTACGGCTTCACCTTTCAGCGCACCCATACCCTTCAAAATTTATATGGTGATTGTTAGTGATTACCGAAGACTTCGTAGCGAGCCATTCAAAATAACGTCATGCTAAGGCTGAGCTGGACTGTGCTCTATATCTATACCGATAGAACACAAACATTCGGATTATCCAAATTTATTTTAATGTTGTATTTATGGAGAGAGGGTGGAGAAAAAGTGAATGACTTGACCTTTTGCATTGGCCTGCTTAGTAAAAACCTCTTCATATATTCTTGGCAATTAGCGGTTTCCGTAATTTTTTATTTAAAAAATCTTACAATTATTTTATAGACAGATGTTAATATTGTTTGAGAGCATCAGATATACGAGTATACAGCGTTGGTGAAACACGGCTCTGGGTCAGATACAACCTGAGCAACCTCGCCGCGGACAAGTTAGGGAGAGGAGGAGTCTTTCTAAACATAATTAATCATCCACACGTTGCTCGTGTGCTACTGTCTACAGTAAATACCTGCTAAGGCTGAACTCCAGTGACAAATCGATTATCAGAAAGGTAAATGAAATATCATGTAAAGTGGCCAGGTAGATATAGCCAGAACTGGAAGTATAAAAATGAAGCCTCTTAACCCTTCTAAATCGCTGCTATATCATGTGGTGTAATAAAAATACATTTTTTAATGGAATTTCATGTCAAGAGAATGGTTGTAGTAGGCTACTATTTTTTGTCGCAGTTGTAGAGACGAAGAAGTGGACTAGTGTTTTGAGCACACTCTGCTTAATTAATGAGTACGTGAGAGAAATTCTTTTGGAAATAACCTTTTTCGACTGTCTTGCCTCTGCTATTAGCCATCTCGTAGCCTTTGTAAGACGAAAAAAAAAATGTTTCACATATTTCACAGAGGTTGATAGTAGCCTAACAGCGGTACCACAATAGGTCTACAGGCCTAAGTGCGTTAGCCTCTGACCAACAATCGCATTAAGTCAACTCTACTTTGAGGTAAGCCGTATGTTCTCATTATATAAGTTTTCAATCGCGATTTCTATCTCCGAAAAGTTGATGTTAATTAGGGTATCCAGCATCCAAACGTCGCAAGATGTAGTCCACACACTTTTGGATGAACCAAAAATTTGGAATAGAGACATCAACATATGAGAGTTCTTGGAGAAAGCTTTTGCACTCTCCTCCTCTTTCAATTTTTAAAAATCCTGCTAGAGAAGATTTTCTCATATTCTATTGGTCATTTTCGGATAAAAAAAATTTTTGACGATATTTGTGAGTGTGTTGAGCATCAGATCTTTTAGCTCCCCTAACGAGCTATCTGACGCTTTTCATAAGCTCAGAGGTTACAAGGGGAAATACACCAATTTCATCTCCTCTTCAAATTTTGCAAGTGAAATACGAAACTGAAAGCAATGAAAATCGTACCACTAAAACTTATAAAGGGTGGTTTTTTGACGTATGATTTTTCATTAAAGATATTATATATTTCTCGGAGTTGGTATTTTTGAAGGCTGTCACTTGAGTTATTCTCAGTTTTGTTCTGCATTTCTAATATTCGATAAACTTACTCGCCCAGCAGAGACGGTAATTTGAGTAACCTTCAATCGGTTTCCCACCACGCTTGGGCTGTAGAGCAGAGAAGCAAAGAAGACCGAACTCACTCCAACCGCCTTCGCGTCCAACAATTGAAACTGTTTTTGATTTGGGGGCTTACAAAATCCAATCCGTGCACGAATTGTTGCCGAACGACCATTAAGAGCGTCGCACGTTCGATGAGATGTTCTAAAATGAGATGGTCATCCATCCCGATTTTCACAGAAATTTTCGTTCAGCGATGCAGCTCACTTTTGCTCAGATGGTAACCTTAATAAGCAAGATTGTCTAACATGGAGTGTTTGTAAACTAGTTGCCATTGTTGAGACTTCGTTACATCACCAAAACGTCACTGTTTGGTGTGATCTATGGACAAAGGGTCCATATTTATGGTAAAAGTAAAACCAACCATAATGTTACAGCCAATAGGGAATGCTTGAATTCGAGGATATTGATGTGATTCTAACAAGATGGCACTACGTACCATAGACCCAATGAAACAATAAATTTGTTGAAGGAAACTTTTGGTGAGCACATTATCTCAAGTGATGGACCTTTGGTGTGGCGTCCAAGATCGTGCGATTTAACACAGCTGTACTATTCTTGGAAGGGTTAAGTGTAGTCGCTTATCAACGCAGATAAGCCGTAGACGATTGACGCCTCGTAAGAGAATATTTGGCACGTTATTGCTGACATACGATCCCAGTTGCTGCAAAAAGTGGTCGACAATTGGGCCCGTCAGCTGGAATTTACTCGACTGCTTCGATAGTAACTTGCCGCAAATTATTTTTAGAACATAATGGGAAGCCCTCATCTTTATAATAGAGCTAAATTCTTGGTCATAACAGTAAATTATATTTATGTATTTTATTTCTTCTAGAAAACGACATTTCTAAAAAAATACCCTTTTTTAAACAGCTCATTAATCTGCTATAGAGCAGAATTGCCTTTAGAATAGTGAACCAGTATATGAATTATCATGAAACTAGAGCTTACCATTGACTTCTGTGCGGTGCTGCTCTTTGAGCTTACTCTGGAGAAAGTCACATACAACTATTCATGGCAGAAGCAACTGTCTCTCAAAGTCTACTTCTGCTACCTCAAGAGTTTGGTCTGGAACTTTCTTTATGGTTAAGGCGAAGCCTACTTTGAAGGAAAACTGCACTCTCTTCGATACAGGGGAGTAATTTGTTGTAATTTGTCGCATTGGACCAAAACCGGTGAATCCGGTGGTTGATCGATGGTATTGAACGAGCCAACCGCGAATATCAAAAAAAAAAAAAAAAAATCGACGAAGGACTAAGGTTTGTCCACTTTATGGTGTTCAAATGGCAAGCTCGCATAATCATTCTGAGGGCTTAGTGTGAATATTTTTTTGCCTTGTGTAGATTTTAGTTATAAGCTCTTCCACAGATAAAACGATTGTTCCTGATGCTGCAGTATCAATTCTATTCTGGTTTTGTTACGGGAAATCACCACTTCCTATATTAGGCTGGGAACTGTCCTGTAGTATCATTTTCTCTCAAGCTGCCTCTCATATTTTTGGTAAGGATCCATTTTTTTTAGATCGCTTCAAGCATGCCTTAACTTCGTCCGCTCGTGTTCCGCTGGGCAGTAGTGGCAAAGTCTGCCGTAAATTACCTGCTAAAAATAGAATAATTCGTTCAATTTCAGAGATATTATTTTTAATGTCTTTTAATGATCTTTTTATTAAATTAAATTTTATGAATAAGCAATTTGCCGGTGCTTTATTCTCTCAGCTTAATTCCTTGTGTGAAGCTATTTTTGGTTAGACTGGTCTTAGGCCCAATTCCTGGGAGAAAAAGTGAACTCAATCAAACAATTGGTCGGAAGATACCTTTGCACTGAATTCTATGTAGATCAAATGATAAAATAAACGGATAAAATAAAATAGACCAAACATAATTAGAAACTTTTCGAATATAACGATACCAGGTCCATTTCCCTGCGTAGGCAAAACGCACCCACCAAATTTCAAATTTATACGATCTGTGGCTTAGACTGTGAGTTTATGTCATTCAGGTTCAGGTTACATTTAATATAAGGTTGTCAAATATCTCCCTTCCGCTTTTTTGCTCTTCATTCAATGCTTTATAAAAAGTGTTACAGTGATCGGATTTAGTTAAAATNAACTCCATGTTTACACGTCTATAACTGTTGAACGCAATATCCAAACTAATCATGCATAGCGTTGTTTTGTAGGTTATGTCAAGACCTTTCAAATTATGTATAGTATTCTCTGTGTACGAGCTCTGTAGCGCTTTGTACATAGCCGCGAAATTCAAAAGACAAAAAAGCGGAAGGGAGATATTTGACAATCTAATATATATACATAATTTTTAATTATTTTAATATTAAAAAAAAAAAAATTCTTACCTTCAGTCTTCTTGTCAGCAGGCTCCTTCCTCCCCTTTTGTGGTGGACGCAAGTACTTAGACTCTTGCTCCTCGATATGAATATTCAATGTGTTATGTTCACCCACTTTGGTTTGCTTCTAGACAGCCCTTTGCAAGAGATCGACCGACACAAAATTTCTTATGGCCACAAATGGCCTTCCGATTTACGATGAGCCGAAATATGACCATGGAAGTTCAGATCGCACATATTACAGTATTCTAATTGACGCTGCTTGGTCTTGCCCATGCGTTTCAAATGCTCCAATTTAATCGATTTCAATTGCTCGGCGATCTTAGCCTCTTCACGAATCCTATTGGCCTTTAGGCGATAGCTCTCCGCAATGCCTTCGCGCATCATCTAATGAGTACGTCCCTTAATGTGATGATTATAAACTTAGATATATAAGTGCATTCATATCTGCGCTGCAACAACAACTGTAAATTTTAAATGCACGACATCCACATGGAAACTAACACATATGAAACAAACATTAAAAAGCGATCCCACTGAGCAAATAACAATAGCAGCATTTCTGATTAACGGGCAACATATTGTTGCAAGTTATAAAGCATTGCGGTTACTGCAGCGTTAATAAGCGTCTAAG